TCAACAGCAATAGCTGTAGGGCAGTTACACACTAAAATGGCTCCTCATACTGCCGAATTTTTGAAAATTATAAATAACATTTTTGGTGGTCTTAACAGACTTAACTTTTAATAATAAAATGTTTCGATATTGTCAATAATGAGAGTACTTCTTGAGAACAAGAAATAATAATTTTTTTTTCCTAAAATTTTAATTTTACAATCTTAGTTTGAAAAGAACATTCAAATATACTTATTTACTTTGTTTTGAAATATGATCTAATTAGTGATGTTTTAATCTTTCTAATCCTGTCCGTTTATCAGCTTTTACCTATTGTTTCTAGGCAGTAGATGGCCCTCAACTATCTATATATTGGAAATTCTCTGTCATTTTATCAAGATATGTACTTAGTTGCCAATATAAATAAATGAGTCAGATTAAATAAATTATTAGAATAATTTTTATACTAAGCAACATTTTTGTTTAATTCATTAATAATTTTCGTATTTTGACAACGACACCCGATTTGGGCGTCGAAACGTTAATAAAATCATTTTTTTTTAGTAAAATTGTGGCTTACTTCCCATCAAAACTAGTTAAGATCTCGATTAACAAACATTTTTTTCATTTTTATAAATGCTTGTCTTGCAATTTCAATACGTGTCCTGATTTCTCTAATAAATACCTTGGTCATTGTTCTTATTGTATTATTATAATGATCTGTAAGTTTAATTTGTTCAAAGGGCTTATTTTTTAACAATTTTTTTTAATTTTGAAAAAAATGCTTTTTTTCAAAATAACTTAAAATTTATTATAGGTATTAACAAAAATCACAAAGAGTAAAAAAATGTAGGTTTTGCTTTTCTGAATATTTTGGTCATTGTTTTATAATTTATGGGTTTATAAGTTAAACAATATTGCATTAATTAAACTTATATTTTTTTATTATCTTATACAATATCTGCTATATATTATATTAAACAGTCATAACTTGCTTACTCTTGACGTAAGAAACTTAACAAAAATAAACCTTTTTTAAACACTTTAAAAAAAGTTTGTAATGAGTGTTTGTCGAACAGTGCTTAATTTTTTTTATTATATCACGTTGAAATATTCAACATGGAATTTGACGAATAACAACCTATTTTTCAATAACTCGAAAAGTATTGACTTATTGAAAAAACTCTATAATACAACAGTTGCTTAGGATTACTGATTTTAGGCACTTCCAAACTTATCTTGAACGTATATTTTTTCACTCCCGATAAAGAGTGATACTGAACCATAGGACAAAAACATAATCTTTTTTCTTTGATATCTTAGCTAGGCGTAAGCCAAATTTCATGTCAATCCAAGCGATTCTTTAAAATTAGGAGGTTTTGCAATATGTTACCGTGAGTGAATTTACTAAATCTGGAAATAAATTCTGTATATTAGCTTGAAATATTTTAGTTTGCATCAATTCTGAAAATTAATTTGTTTGAAAGTTACAAAAAAGTAATTTACATGAGATGTAATTTATCACTGCTAATTTTACTATGTATTTTATATTTTGTTATTTTTTTTGTATTGTGTTGATAAATAAATAATTTGTAGAAAACCTTTACTGTTTTCATTAATCAATTTTTAGCGTTTTTTCTGAAGTAAAATCGGAATTTCGTAATATAGATTACAAGCACGTTAAAATTATTTGTAAAAATGCTGAATGCCATCCTTATATCGACTCTCTATTATTTTTCAATTTGTCAAAGGTTTCAATGAATGTCGCCAATATACAGTCAGGTAGTACTTAGGCGTGAGGGACAAAGAGGTCTAAGTGGGCGGAGTTTAACACTGAATTCGTTTTTACCTTAGAGTGAGGTATCTAGGTAATGGTTTATAATCAATGCCGTACTGCACTTTCGGTGTGACATTTTCCATAGACATATTTTATTATACGCGTAGAAATAATATTTAAGGATTTCTATTAATGTTAACTTAAAGAAATACACAATAATATGTTTCATTTAATTTGTATAAATGCATTATAAAGCGTTTTTGTGAAGAACATATGTTCGGAACACACCTTAACTGTAATCGAACGAAGGTGATATTTTGGCATAAATTGGTAACACTTATTTGACAGTTGCGGTGTTGACACTTTTTGTACTTTATTATTTTGAATTTTAAAGTAAATACCTCTTGGATTATATTTTTACCTATTTAATAAAATCTGTTCTTTTTAGAACAAAATTAGTGTGTATTATTAATTACTATCATTATTAGTGTGTCTTATATTAATTTGTTTTGTTGTATAATCCACTTTTGCAATAATTACGTGACCTATTTGATTTAAAATGGATTCAGGATTTTTTTATACTTTGGCAACTATTGCAACTTCAATCTCTGACGTAGATAATGACGTGGAACGATATGTAAATTAGATAAAGTATAAATTTATATTACTATGTAATTTCAATTTTTTTCATTCTCATTCAGCTGCACCTATTCTTGTTTATTTTTAAAGTGGTATTGTATATTTTAATTTACAAAATCTAGATTTTGGTGCAGTCAGTATAAGCTCATGTTAGATACACGATACTATGAAGTAAAGACAAACCCAGTCTATCTCTTTTGCACGTGTGACGTCACTTGGCGACAAATATACCAGAAATGTTCTGTTTTGCATAGAGTTTTGTCAGATTTAGTATTGTTTTATTGTTTATCTAGTACGTTGACAAATAAATGTGTGCACTTTATATAAAATATATTTCAGAATATTAAATTCAAGATAAAGTTTTATAGCCAAGTGACGTCATGCGCATCGAAGTACAAAATTCGATTGCGAAGTGGTTTTATCTTGGAAGTCACAGTATCATGTGTTAGATATGGATTGCTTATTATCTCAATTATCTTTATCCATTTACTAAATGCATATCGATGGGTGGATAACAAAGAAATTTTGTTTTTCCTATTACTTTTTAAGAAATGGGAAGTAGTAATATACATATAAAATTTTATTTTAAGGGTTTTATGCTATAATGCTAAACTAAATAAACAATAGTTTCACTTAAGAGCGTAGGCGCAAAATTTCGGGCCAATGTTTTTTAAATGCATTCATTTTTTTTTTCGAATCCTGAGAAAACTAACAAATATTTTTAAAAAATTTAAACGCAAAATGAAATACTACATTATTACCGAGGGCTGAAAGTACCTTAGAATAAACAAAAAGTTTTTTTAATGAGATATTTGAAATTAAAAATTACACTTAATTTTCTCTTCTTTGTCACCCCTGTAACTTATCAAAATAAACATTATAGAAGTTTTTACGGACTTTCGGCCCTCAGTAATAATGTATTCTTTCATTCTGCGTTTAAAATTTTTAAAAATACTTTAATTTTAGTTTTCTCAGGATTCGAAAAAAATGAATGCATTTAAAAAGCATTGGCACGAAATTTTGCGACTACGCTCTTAAAACATGCGTTTCTTATATCATGCAAAACGCGAGAAAATGGTTTTGAAGAAATTGAGTTTAATTCAAATTTAATAGTTTGCATGAAAATGATTGTATTATTTCTTCTGATTCAGAATGTTATAAAAACCATTTTGTATATTTCATATGAATGCACGATGACACAATAAGACCGTAATCAAAATACAATATTTTGTTGCAGTTTTATTTGTGGACTTTTGATATGTTGTATCTTATTACAACTAAATATCGCATGCGATCTGCACGTTACTGAAGTAAAAGTCCATTCATTTCCTTCTTCTAAATGTGCTTATCTTCTAGAGATATTGGCGACCACATTGACCCATCATATTCTATTCACAGCAGCTCGAAATAGATCAGATGACGTTAGACCAGTCCACTTCCTAAGATTGGCCAGCCAGGATATACGTCTACGTCCAGGGCCTCTCCTACCCTCAATACTGCCTTGTAGAATCAACTGTAGAGGTCGGTATTTATCATTATGAATGAAGTGGCCGAAGTAAACCAATTCTCTGTTTTTTATTACGTTATTAATTTCTTTGTCTTTTCTTAGCCTTTGGAGAATAGTTATGTTATTTGTGTGGTGTATATGTAAGACCCTCAACATACGTCGGTAGCACCAACTTTTAAATGCCTCTAATCGTTTTATGGCATATTCTGTAAGGCTTCAGCTTTCTACTCCATAGAGGAGGACACTAAAGACGTAACATCTAAGAATTCTTATGCGTATATTGATACTTAAAGATAAGCTGCAGATAATCTTCCTAAGGCTGTTGAAAGATCTTCTGGCTTTTTCAATACGAGTTTTTTTTTTGTAGCTGTGATCCCAAGTATCCTTAATACTGCAGCCCGCATATTTTTTTCACTCTTTCTAATGGTGTATTGCCTATTGTAATTTGGGCGTTTATGTTGGTGTACTTACTAATGATAAGTATTTTTGTCTTCTTGCAATTTAGTTTTATGCCGTATTTGTTACATGCTTCTACGTTATCCATAATCCTTTGGAGCCCCTGCACACTATCTGCCAGCAAGACTGTATCGTCTGCATATCTAATATTGTTTATAAGTTGGCCATTTACAGCTATCCAATCTTCTGATTCGTCCTAGTCTAACTCTAATAAAATTTTTCATTTTCTAATCGTACTGTTGCTTTTTGTTGGAGATATAAGTTTGAGATCAGTCTTATATCCTTACCATCGAGTCCTAATTTTTTTAGGATATCGATTAGTTTCCCATGTGGGACTTTATCAAATAGCTTCTCGAAATCAATGAAACATGCATACATATCGCAGTCGACATCCATGGCTCTCTGTATTAGAACTTGCAAACTAGAAAGTGTTTCCCTCGTTCCGAGTCTTGCTCTGAATCCAAATTGAAAATCACTCACTCTAAGGAATACTTTAAGTACATGGCCAATTTCCTAACAAAAATAAATACATAAAAATCATAAAATCTCCTAAAAAATTCCTAACAAAAATAAATACATAAAAATCATAAAATCTAAATAAAATAATGTGCAAGGTGCAAAAAGAAAACTAAAAGTCAAAAATAAAGTTTAAAAATTTAATTTCATTTTATAAAAATATATCAAACTACTCATTTTATTATAACAAAATAAAAGAAAAATGTAATTACTACAGTAATTGCTATTATTTAATATTAATTACTACTGTATGCATAAGGATTGTTACTTTCTACATCATACGAATTCTTACTTTTATCTGTATTTTGGTCCACTATTCCACTGACGGCCTAAAAATAAATTAGCTATTAGTATGAGAATATATTGTACGTTATTCTCCGCAGATTAACCGTAAATTGAGATTTAAGTTATATTATCAGGAAACAAAAAAAAAAGAAATAAAATTGTAGGTCTATCATTATCCTCACAACGCAAATACACTCAGGAGATCAAAAGAGATTCAAAATCAAAATAGTAATGTAAACCACCATTCTTCCGCTCGTGTGCACTGCAGCAGAAGTGTAGCTAATAATATTTAAATGGAACTAATGACATTAATATGGTGTACTGAATTTGTGAATGCTGTTTTTATTTAAGTCCAGTAATATAGATAGTTTTACCGTAGTTTCTGGTTATTACAGTTGATGGCTTTTGTCAAGGTAAAATAGAGTTTTCATGTCGGTTGTGTGTTCTATATTGCTAATGCCTTATAAATTTAACGGAGAGTACCTTGATGAGCTAAGACGATTTCAGGAAAGTAATTATGGCCACACAAAAACATAAATATAATTACAAAAATCCTTCATTCTAATTTAAAAGATCGTCAACATCGAATATAAACGTACTTTTTTTTCTGATTCTTCCTGTGGAACTGTAGCCAACATTACTAAAGGAAGTGACAAAGGGGGCGTAGACGTCCAAATCATTCAACGACTGATGATCTTCCTCGACTATCTGCGGAAGATGTAGCCGTGGTATGTTTCCGGAATCTATTGGTTGGTCCGAATCGGAATTGAAATATACAGTACGGTTAAGGAGAATTTTTTATTTCATCTTTACGATTTCCTCTTCTTTACAATTAAAACTAATCGGGTGTTTTTGAATTTCTATAGCTGTACTATAGCTTCTATAACTACTTCATTGATTTATTCGAATACGTTTCGCTTTTAAAAGTAAAAGCGAAACGTATTCGAATAAATCAATGAAGTAATTGACGACTTTCATTTGCCAATTATTGACTGATAAAACCTCTGCTATTCAACCATTGAATATATATATATATATATATATATATATATATATATATATATATATATATATATATATATATATATATTTACGGCATAAAGTGAACTCCGCCCATGTAAAATTCAGGTTCAAGTGAGCTCCGTGGTCAAGTGGACACCGATATACGGAGCTCACATGACCATTCCATAATATTGGCTCTGTCGATTCGTTAAGATGTATAGTTTCATAATTCTTAATAAAATTTTGGAGCTCATAAGTACCCCTGTATCATAAATGTATTTCGCTTAGTTCACGTGTATATATTATAGGGGTCGTTCAGATCTTTTTCACTGTATATTGGAACCATAGGAATATCGGTTTAAGTAAGCTCTGATAGTTTGGCAACTATGCACTTAGGCTAGCGGTCTTGATATATATATATTTTATATATTTTAAACGGTTCATACGGACTCCTTTTCATACGCATTACAATATGTAATCTTTTTCTTCTTCTTGATGTGCCTATCCGTTATGAATGTTGGCGATCATATTGACAATATGTAATAGATATGTATAATACCAAATACCTGTTTTTGGTAGGTACCTGCTATTCTAAAAATAGCTTTATAAAATACAAAAGGATTTCATTACCAAGTTGGACGTGTTTTTTCATATGCGAATATTTCCTAATGTATTTTGTTAACATGAATATGTCTTTATACGTTTTATTTAAGAATACGATTAATAAGAACTTTTAGTTAATCCATTGTTTTACGATATCTTGTATACAGCTTCTTTATTATTTTATTTCTGGTTTTATCTGTGTACTACATATAATTCTGGATAGGTTATCTTAAAATAAATATTTAAGTGCAAAAATAGATATTTTTATGTAAAAATTGGTAGTAGTGCACAAAAGAGGGAAGAATGCTTAATTTATATAAGAAGAATGTACCAGTTCACCAATATTACATACTTCTAAATGTTTTATCTGCTATTTAGGGGTAATATGTAATCAATAAACGTGGAGTTTGTGTCAAATTTGTAATAATCTTTGGTCAGTTTTTTTCTCGATTTTAGTCATAAATTGAGCTGGTATTCGTTGAGTGGATGTTGCGATTCTAGACTTTGTATCTTTTATTCTCTAGCAGTCTAGCTACTTATCTTCGGATATTAGGTGAATTGATAGCTACGATATTGTAGAGCTTATGTATGGATGTGTGTGTGTGTCTTAATATTAGCTGAATTTGGCTGTCTAATTTATAGCTAAATCTACGTGTTAAATATGTGTTGGTGTCATCCATACTTGCAAGGTATATTCGGTAGCAGAAGCATAGAGTGCAAGCGTCTACGTTTTAAGGATGAAAGGATGCTTCTCATTTTTAGCTGACAAGTTTGCTGAGATTATTTTTCTGGTCCTCAGTTTGCCTTTTAGTTTTAAACAATGTTCTATGAATGACAAAGTGTGATACAAACTATCTTCAAGGTATTTATAGCAAGTCCAGAGTTTAAAAATTTCATGACACTATTGGATGTTTAGATTTTTAAAAGCAATTCTGTTAGGGACATTAAAGCATTTCATCTGACTTTTTCTGAGGTTTGGCTTAAAATTGATTCATAGTCTATTTTATTGTGTTTAAAGTATGATTTAGATTTTTCTATACTTCAGCAACAAAAGTTTTAGTTGTGCAACAATATCGATGTATCGTCTACATAATAAAAGTCCTAGTATTTACTGGTATGGGTTGTGTAAATATTATACAGTGTAGGTACCATTACGCTACCCCAAAGGAGACCGTTCTTCTGCGTTTTCCATCTGTTATTTTTACCATTGAATGATACGAAAAATCTTCTGTTGTGTAGGCATACCCGGACAATACAAGCCATTGTTGTATTTTTGATCCAAATTTTAGAATTAGTTTTGTGCTCAGATGTTTAGTCAGGAGCCGTAATATTGTTCATTAGGTATATACGTAGATAGCAGATCCAAGCTCAACACCGTTGAAAGATTCCCTTAGCTGACTGGTTTTGTCCCCTCTCATTTTAAGTTTTTCTTTTCTTGTTTGCCTATGTTTGGCCCTCAATGTGTTTCCTGCACTAGAAATACGTCACATTTGTGTTAACCGCATATGTCTGATAAAGTTAAGTAAAGTAAAGTACCTATCTTTATCTCTGGATATTCCCTTCTCTAATGTTTATAGACATAATTAGGATAGTTGACATTAAAAAGACCGATTTGGCCGATATTTAAACCCTATAAAATATGGCTAATCTTTTACTTTTCATTAAAAATTTTAATTTTACATACTGTTACTTTTAGACAATATTTCGATCAGATTTGTATAGTAATAAATGTAGTTAATATACCGTCTCTTTGTGAAAAATAAATGAGTTTGTAATATCGGTCACAACTCATATATGGATAATAAGAAAATAAACCGTTAAAATAGGTTTACAAAATTTTTAACTACATATATCGGCGCCATTGTTCAGGAGTTGGGTTTATCTCAGAGATCAAAGGTTACGTTACATGCATATTCCAGGTTCTATTTACGTATTTTCATTCCTAAAAAAGTATATTTATAATAAAGCCCTGAAGCTACCTTTAGATTCTATGGAAAGTAGAATCTATGGAAATTAGCAAATTAAAAAATAAAGACATAATTCTGAATGGCCAACTTGAGACAAACAATTCTCCGTCCTTAACTTATTCAGTTACAAACTATAACGTGTAAACGCATACATCTTTTATTGTTAGCTAAAATGAATTTTTATCAAGTAACGGTCGGATCCATCACTTACTAAAAGAGTAGAAAATGACATACTTATGCTTTAGAGTACGGCTACTTTAGTACAAAGTACCCTTTGCTTTTGCCAATTGCTTTCTCACTTTCTTAGCGATGGGCCTGGCTTTTTCTTATCAATAATGTTCTCGTTCGTTATAGTTATTCTAAGATATTCAGATTTCACTATATGCTCTACATTTGGTTTTATCTAATATAAATTTACAACTATGACGAAATTTTTATAATATTTTATGCATTGATATTAAACTGATATTAAACTGAGGATATAAAAATCAACAATAAGACCGATAATGACGTACATAGCGGAAACAAGAGCAGAGACGGCGAAAACACAAAGACTGCTAGAAACAACAGAAATGAAAGTCTTACGAAAAATAACAAACTAAACTCTAAGAGAAAGAGTAAGAAGTGAAGAAATACGAGCAAGATGTGGTTTAGAGGAAATAAACGCGTGGACCAAAAGAAAAAAGCGGAATGGAATCAACACTTCGAAAGAATGATAGAAAATAGAATAGTACGAATAGCAAGAGACAAATCGCCAAATGGAAGGAGATCATTGGGACGACCGAGGAAAAGATGGTCAGACAACGTCAATTGAGGCTCAAAACCGAAGTAAAACAGGCATTAAGCCTATTTATAAAGAAGAAAGAAGAAGAAGAAGAAGATATTAAACTGGAGTAGAGCACTTGGTAGATAATATTTATTTGTTTTGAGTATACTTATTTTACAACATAGTACATAAAATAATAAATATTTGTGTGCTCAGATTTTTGCTCTGAATTGAAGATTTTATCTCAAAATATGACTGTACTTTATACAAATATTATGATTTTCTGAGATACCGGTATAAATATAAATTTTGAATTTCGCAATGATTTTTTAAAATTATTTTCTTGTGACGTTATGTCAGTGTTTAAGAATAATGCTGGGAATAAGGTTAAATAGGTTTTTATATTTTATTTGACGTTTAAATATTTAAATCTGAGTTTATTTTTCGAAAAACTATAAACTTGTGACAACAAATTGCTATATAACAGTACGAGGCAATATTCTTATGCTGTGACAAAATCATCATAAATATTTGCTTTACATTGCCGTTTTTCCTGCCGTATCATATTTTAGCATAGTCTTCTGATTCATTTTATAGACAAGCGGTAATGGATATCCAAAATTTGTCTAATAATATTAAGTTTTAAAAACAGCTGTGCTTTTATGCTCATTCGTTTACCTTTTGTAAAGCCACCTGAGTTATGAAT